GTCTACCGGCTTCCTCGTAAGCTCCCAGCAAAGCAAGTAAGCAATAAGATTCTGGTGGCGGCACGCACTTTCCTCAAACGCTCAAAGACTCCCCTGCTGCGTGCGCGCATGTTCTCAGCTTGCTCAAAGATTCCTCTGCTTCAACGTCTGGCGAATATGAGCGTGCATCTCATATTCACAGCTCGCTCAAAGATTCCTCTGCTTCAGCGTCTGGCGAATATGAGCGTGCGCTCATATTCACAGCTCGCTCAAAGATTTCCTCTGCTTCAGCGTCTGGCGAATATGAGCGTGCATCTCATATTCACAGCTCGCTCAAAGATTCCTCTGCTGCAGCGTCTGGCTGAACATGCGCGTGCGCGCATGTTCTCAGCTCGCTTAAAGATTCCTCTGCTTCAGCGTCTGGCTGAATATGAGCGTGCGCTCATTCTCAGCTCGCTCAAAGATTCCTCTGCTTCAGCGTCTGGCTGAACATGCGCGTGCGCGCATGTTCTCAGCTCGCTTAAAGATTCCTCTGCTTCAGCGTCTGGCTGAATATGAGCGTGCGCTCATATTCTCAGCTCGCTCAAAGATTCCTCTGCTTCAGCGTCTGGCTGAACATGCGCGTGCGCGCATGTTCTCAGCTCGCTCAAAGATTCCTCTGCTTCAGCGTCTGGCGAATATGAGCGTGCATCTCATATTCACAGCTCGCTCAAAGACTCCTCTGCTGCAGCGTCTGGCCGAACGTGCGCGTGCGCGCATGTTCTCAGCTTGCTCAAAGACTCCCCTGCTTCAGCGTCTAGTTGAATATGAGCACGCTCATATTCTCAGCTCGCTCTGCCTAAACAAACACGGGCCCCAGCGGACGCAGCCGGCTGAGCGACTGTGCGAGAAGCCTCTCACTCATGCTCTCAGGCCCGCGCAGTACGTCCTGCTATCCCAATCGCAGGCCCGCTTTTTGGGGATTATGCACGCGAGCAAGCGCCATGCTCAACAGCATCCCTCCCGGGCCTAGGGCGCCAAACATACTCAATCAATAAACATGCTTAAATCTAAGTCTAACGGCATTTTCCTCATGGGTCTCTCCAATGTGAAATGGAGCTTTCGCGAAAGTTCACTGTGGTAGACCCGGCTGCTGCTTGCCCAGATCTACAGGCTGCTCTTCCTCGGCTCATCAGACCAGCAACGCCCACATCCAGCCAACCAATAACCACCAGGACAGCAAGTTAAAAGCCGGAGACTCCCCCTTTCCCGGCCTTCTGAAGTCTGCATCTTAAGGTTTAAGAGCCTCAGGAAGCGTTGTTTGCCAGGAAGTGGCTGCCTTTTAAACTGCCCGCTTTGCTCTGAGAGGGTTGGCAGGAGGCTGGCCTGGCTGTGTGATTGGCTGAGGCTCAGGGCTGGCAGGCACTCGGTCTTTCAGTCTGAACATCCGCTTGAGCTTCATTTCAATCTGAAGAGACCAAAGACACAATAAATACATTAAAATGATTTATTTGTTTGGCGCATTGACCCCGGCAGTGACACTTGCAGCTATGAGATCGATTGCAGCTGAGATGATCTCAGATCCCCCAAAAGAGGAAGCCACGCTATGTGTGCCGGGGAATGCGCAGGCCTCCCGTGGGAAGCTGCCTATCTGGAGGCGTGGGAGCCTTGCATGGAGGCAGCATTGCATAGGGGCAGCATTGCATAGGGGCAGCATTGCATAGAGGCAATATTGCATAGATTGCATAGAGGCAGCATTGCATAGAGGCAGCATTGCATAGATTGCATAGAGGCAGCATTGCATAGAGGCAGCATTGCATAGAGGCAGCATTGCATAGATTGCATGGAGGCAGCATTGCATAGATTGCATAGAGGCAGCATTGCATAGAGGCAGCATTGCATAGATTGCATAGAGGCAGCATTGCATAGAGGCAGCATTGCATAGATTGCATGGAGGCAGCATTGCATAGATTGCATAGAGGCAGCATTGCATAGATTGCATAGAGGCAGCATTGCATAGTTTGCATAGAGGCAGCATTGCATAGATTGCATAGAGGCAGCATTGCATAGATTGCATAGAGGCAGCATTGCATAGATTGCATAGAGGCAGCATTGCATAGATTGCATAGAGGCAGCATTGCATAGATTGCATAGAGGCAGCATTGCATAGATTGCATAGAGGCAGCATTGCATAGAGGCAGCATTGCATAGATTGCATGGAGGCAGCATTGCATAGATTTCATATTGCGAGGTTTAAGAGCCTCAGGAAGCGTTATTTGTCAGGAAGTGGCTGCCTTTTAAACTGCCCGCTTTGCTGTGAGAGGGTTGGCAGGAGGCTGGCCTGGCTGTGTGATTGGCTGAGGCTCGAGGCTGGCAGAGCTGTGTGATTGGCTGAGGCTCAGGGCTGGCAGGCACTCTGAAGAGACCAAAGACACAAAAAATACATTAAAATGATTTATTTGTTTGGCGCATTGACCCCGGCAGTGACACTTGCAGCTATGAGATCGATTGCAGCTGAGATGATCTCAGATCCCCCAAAAGAGGAAGCCACGCTATGTGTGCCGGGGAATGCGCAGGCCTCCCGTGGGAAGCTGCCTATCTGGAGGCGTGGGAGCCTTGCATGGAGGCAGCATTGCATAGGGGCAGCATTGCATAGGGGCAGCATTGCATAGATTGCATGGAGGCAGCATTGCATAGAGGCAGCATTGCATGGAGGCAGCATTGCATGGAGGCAGCATTGCATAGAGGCAGCATTGCATGGAGGCAGCATTGCATGGAGGCAGCATTGCATGGAGGCAGCATTGCATGGAGGCAGCATTGCATGGAGGCAGCATTGCATGGAGGCAGAATTGCATGGAGGCAGCATAGCCTGGAGGCAGCATAGCCTGGAGGCAGCATTGCATGGAGGCAGAATTGCATGGAGGCAGCATAGCCTGGAGGCAGCATTGCATGGAGGAAGCATTGCATAGATTGCATGGAGGAAGCATTGCATAGATTGCATAGAGGCAGCATTGCATAGAGGCAGCATTGCATAGAGGCAGCATTGCATAGAGGCAGCATTGCATAGAGGCAGCATTGCATAGAGGCAGCATTGCATAGAGGCAGCATTGCATAGAGGCAGCATTGCGTGGAGGCTGCATTGCATGGAGGCAGCATTGCCTGGAAGCAGAATTGCATGAATAGGATACAGAGAATGTGCGGGGGTGACAAATCCGCACGCTCTGTAATGATTATGCGTGTGTGAAGCGTTGGCCCTTGGAGCGTGCGGAGGGTTTCTCGCGCACAGACCGCTTCGTGAGGGTGCATGTATGACGTAGGCCGCAGGGGATCTGTGGGAACAGACACTCACTGAATGAGCGGCTATGTGATCATGCGTGCGTGATGGATGCATGAAGTGAAGAGTAGATGCGTGTAATCGCAGAGCTGATGCGGGCTCTGCGTGTTGAGAATGTGGAGCAGCAATGTAGAGAGCTTTCTCATACAAGATCTGCTATATTTGAGCATGCGTGTGTCAGCGTATGATACAGAGAATATGCGGGGGTGACGAGTCCGCACGCTCTGTAATGACTATGCGTGTAGAAGCGTGGGCCCTTGGGGCGTGCGGAGCTGCCTCTCGCGCACGGGCCGCTTCGTGAGGTGCGTGTATAGCGTGAGCCGTAGGGGGTTATGCAGAGAAGCTTCTCTGCACAGAGCGCTGCGGTGAGCATGAATGTATGATGTAAGACAAGGTGATCATATGCATGTCCGGATTGAAGTGCAACAGATGTTGAGAATGCTTATGTGAGAGAAGAGCCTTAGCCACCACCAGAGTATTTGATAATTACCTCAGATTGAAGAGGGAGCGCTGAGCAGTCAGAATAGTGTCAGTGTTTAGTCTGATAGAGGATGAGGCAGGACCAAGCCGTGGACCATTGACCCATTTGCTGTAGGGAAGAGTGAGGAAGGCCCAGCAGGCTGGAGTGCGGCGGCTATTCTAATCCAGCGGCCGGTATTGGAGAATCGGGAGATCACAGGAGACCGGCCGGATTTATTAAATGGGCTTGGATGCATTGCGCAAACATGACGTCATTTGACAGAGAGAGAAATAGCAGCCCATCTGAATATCCTCTCCGTGCATGGAGGAGTGCATTTCATCAGGTGTTTATCTGGACAGGGGAAAAATAATGCATAGCGAAAGTGTGACGGCACCTTCCTTTTGGAGTGTTGAATGCAGGGATTATAGTGATAGGGGTAATAAGTCCTTGGGGCCAGGGTGCAGCTAACCACTGGCCTTGATATGACCCCCAAAAACCCACGGACTGAGCCGCGTCCGTGAAAAAGAAATAAGTAAGTGGAAGAGGCGGTGCCATCATGAAAGACGCCGTTCCGGCAGGCAGCAGCTGAAGCTGAGGTCAGCGCAGCACCTGCGAACAGGAAAACAGGGTTGCAGAGCGCGCAGGAGCCTGGGGATGAACCACGGCCTGAGGAATGACGTGCACTGCGAGGATGAGGCGGCCCAGCCGGAAGAGCAGCACCTGTTTGGGACGTGACAGAGGACAGGACGGACCAAGAGACCTTGGTCCTCCTCCTCCTATCCTCTCTCTCTCCATGTCCAAGCCGAGGGAGCATTTACGAAACCTTCGATGAGGGTCATCACGTGCGCCGGGTGGCCAGTGTGGCGGCCAGACGCCGGCCCGGCTTGAGATGGACGAGCCCCGCGTAGGAAGGGCATGCCCCGCGCGGGAATGACAGGGCCTATTGCTACGAGAATAATTCGCAAGGCGCGGCCGTGCAGCAAGAGCGCCCTGCAACATAAGGGAGAGATTAAACAAGAACCGACCGAATCTCCTTCTAGAATAAATTAATATATTCAAATTCAGGTTTACTTTTCCACTTGAAATCCTCATTATTTTCTTACATTGTATCGTCATTTCAATGATTAAAAGTTTAATTTGGCGTTTGTTTTTGTTTGAATAAAAAATATTTGACTTCTTGTCTCGTTCACCTCGAGGTCGTTACTCTGGAAACATGTGCATACTGTGTTATTATTATTATATGAAATCATGTATGACCCTCCTGTGGACCTGTCCTTTAAGGATCTCACCACCCTGACAGGTCTGTCTCAGGTCCAAACACATGTTTGTTAGAAATGATTGTAATGGATGAATGGGTTTCTGCTGCTGGACACATGGATTTCTCCTATGGGATCAACACAATATCTATCTACTGTATCTATCTATCTGTCTGTCTGTCTCTCTCTCTCTTTCTCTCTCTCTACCTAGCTGTCTATGTAGTATGTATGTATGTATGTAAACATTTCTCTCTCTCTAGTCTGTCTGTCTGTTTATGTAAATATCTTTCTATCTACTATATGTATCTATCCTCTGTATCTATCTGTCTGTCTAACTATCTATCTGTCTGTGTGTTTTTCTGTCTATCTGTCTAACTATATATCTGTCGGTCTAACTATCTATCTATCCATCTGTCTATCTCGGTCTCGATCACAGATGTTCTACTGTATGTATCTGCATTGTTGACTTCTGATCTAGTGTCTGTAAAAACCAAACGGACCAAATCCATAACAGTGAGAGTATATATTCTCTCTTTCTCGGTCCCGCAGACGCCACAGCTGAGGTGCCCCGCTGCGGCGTGCGGATCCTGACCACCACCTCCGACGGGAAATACCGCAGTCGGGCCGTGCGCCTCAATAACAACAACATCAGCAACCTGACGGGCCTGGGCTTCCTCCTGGGCCACTTCCTTTCCCAGCCGTCCCTCCTGGGCTGGCTCGACCTCTCCTTCAACAAACTGGAGCACATCGACTCGGTGAGCTGTGGACGAGGCTGGTTTGCGTTTAGGATCAAGGATTTCACCGTCAAATCCCACTTAAAGCTCAGTGATCATGTTGAGTGGCATTGTGCGGCTGTTACAGGGTTTTACTGAGGTTAGCTTGTGTGCTAAAGTGCCACCTCTTTGATTCTGGTTCAGTTTATTTGCCATTTGCAGTAAAACCACATTTGGATGCATTTTCAAAAGTGCCCAGTGTGCACCAGACAAGTACATGAATAAATGAGGTAAAAAGTACAGGAATAAAATAAGCTAATAATGTAAAACGATGTATCATGCACATGTCTACACCAGTGTTCTCCAACCTTTTTGACAAATTGTTCATTTAAAACATGGCATAAATCCAGCTGAAACAGACAAACATGAAACCGCAGTCTTTGTGAACAATGTGTTTCATATAGAAAATCCAAAAAAATGTCTTTCTCACATTATTTATTCTCACATTATTTTGACCAATGAGGTGATATTGAATCGTTTCCAAAGGCACACCACACAACATCTGAAAAGCACTTTAACGTACCACACCCCACTGGTTGAAAAACACTGGCCTAAAACACAATTCAATTCAATGTAGTCTTGTAGAGCCCAAAATCACAACAATAGTTCTCTCGGAGGACTTTGCCAACACAGATCAGAGAATCAAACACAAGAAATGCAGTAATAAAAACACATAGACAGATGACCAACGTCCAGTGTCTGGGATGGTCGCCACTGTCCTTGTGTTAGACCCTTACAAAACCCAATGGGAAAAAGTAAGAAACCTCAGTCCACATTGAGAGAGGGATTTGTTTCCACCAAATTTGCATATTGTATATTAATAAGCGCCTGCAAGAAAGAAATACTGTAAACTCTCATGTGGAAATCTAGCGGAGAGTCCATCACCTCTGTTTTTTTCCACATTCCATACAGTGCTGGATAGACATTGGACTTGCATTTTTTTCTTTAGTCCTCTGCACGTCACTGACAGATTTCCAATTGAGTGACTTCTTTGAGGCCACTGGACCAGAGTGCTCCTGTTTATCGTTTCCAGGTCTCAACAGAGTATTTAGCTCTAAGTGCATCAGAGTCTGCTCCCATTGGATCAAAACCCTCAACCTCCAACCAACGCACGTCATCAACGCAAACACAGGACGTTCAGATGAGGCGATATTTATTCATGTATATATTCATTTGGTTCTCCATTTGGTTCCACACGTAGGGACTCCACTCCACAAAGCGTCAATTCATACTAAAACATTTAAAACATACGGTATAAATAATGTACAAAAAAAATAACCCAAAACTGAATAAACATTTCGCATCATCCTTCAACATTTTTACCCTTTTTTTCTGTGTCTTGTCCAGGACTCCCTAGAAAAAAAGAGGTTATTAATCTCAATTTCTATGGTTCTATTTTTCAAAGCAGCTGAGGATCTAAACAAATCTAGGCTGAGTCCCATGTTTTTTTCTTGATATTTCGGCGCTAAATATTCTTACCAGAACGGATTACTTTACTATCGCATTTGTAGCCATTGCCAAACTACAACTAGCAAATTCAGGGGAAACTCTTGACGTCTCTGACACCTAACTACTCCACCCGCATCCCTCAGTTGCTGATTGGTCGGAGGGGATTCAACCGAGGTAACCGCAGCCACTAGGATCAGACCCGGATGTGGAAATAATAATTGACCGGAGTTTACGGATGGCTAAATTCAAGTCCTGCTAAAGAGCTGGATGAGAAATTAAAATGTCCCTCAGCTTTTTTCAACCCAATAATAATAACAACCTCCCCATTCTTAATAACAACCTCGCTCTTTTCCTGTCTACAGCGCTCAAACATACATGATTCTCTACATACTCTTGTGTTTTAGGTTTTCTGTGACATGCCAGAGCTGCGTATACTGTACCTGCACGGAAACTGCATCTCCAACCTGAACGAGGTGGACAAACTGCGGCAACTCCAGTATCTTCACACCATCACTCTGCACGGCAACAAAGTGGAGAGCACCAACGGATACAGGTGTGACGTCACATGACACTCAAGGAGCAACTTGTCACACACCAGTTGTTATGTAATCAAACTAGTTTTTAACTTGGCCGTCCTGACTCTGGACTCTGGCGATACCTCTCCGGGACGGTGGGGGTGGACCCAGAAAGAGAATTATCCAATGTTTTGTATAGCGTCTTCTTACCTCTCGGAAACCTCTTTACAGGATGGTCCAAAAGTCAGCTCTTGGTCTAAAGCTAGGTTCCAGATGTGTGTCAATGCTGAGGGGAGTACATCTACTGTATATATTTTTGACCACTCTAGTTTAACCGCTGTGGCCATAGAGCTATTGGTCCATACGGTGCAAAGACCAATGTTCGTACATGTCCATAAATGTTGTTGAATGTCAAGTGTCCTGGATCATCGCCACTGTCCTTAGACCCTCCTGCATCCACAAGAAAAAGATGAGAAGAATCCGTTTGCATGGATTTCAAACAGATTTGAAGAACTATATGTTGGATAAATGTAAATATTGGTGTCCAGTTTGAAATCACCTTCAGTTTTTCATATAGAACTTGGAATGTTCCCTCTTCAGGAAGTAGATTCTTGTAGTTTTTGTAAAGGACTTGAATGAGCAATTGTCCATTTTTCTTTTTTTTTCTTTTTGTATCTTTGTCCAGGGCTCACGTGATCGCCGTCCTGCCCGCGTTGAAGCACATGGACTTCAGCGGCGTGTCCAAAGATGAGCGAGAACTGGCCAACATCAAGTTTAAAGGAGGAGTGCGGCCGGCCAAAATCTGAAATCTACCAACGGCAAAACAAAACGCTGTCACTTCAACGGGTTTTCTCCACTCCAACGGGAAGTGAGACAATTAAAAAAAATCTCCACCAAAGACACTGCACTTTCTTTCAAATAACCACAAGTCAAAATGATGGAATGAACAGGATTATTGTCCCAAAGTGAAAATGGAAAGAGGCATTTGATGAATAGGATTTAAAGTCTGGATTAAGAGTATGGAGGAGTTCGTTTGTGAAAGGCTTAAAACTTTCTCCTTAACAAGAAGTTCTTTCAAAAGCCAGATTCAGTATATAGAGCTAATGAAATCAAGGCTCAACCCTTTTTCAGCAAATCTTTTCAAATCAACGGCCAGTAACATAAAAACACATGAGTAATGAATATATAGTGACATGGTGAAACTAGTAAATACTGCTTTTTGATTGGATATTTATGAACATATATATTTGCATGTGTATATACTGTAGGCATAGTAGGCAACATAACAATGTATACACAAAAGTTCGCCATAATCTAAGGCAGGGGTCTCCAACCAGTAGCTCTCCAGCCCCTTTCAGGTAGCTCCCCAAAGGATTAAGAATTTAAAATATGATCTTGAATGAATCACTTTTGTAACCTTGCCTGCAAGCTGAATTCTCGCGGTATTTGTGAGTTCACAAACACTCGAGAATACATCTTGCCCCGCTCCCGCCAACCCTTTTCAAGTAGAACATCTAGGTGTTCAAGCCAATCACGCGCCAGTCTGGGGGTTTAGGGCGGGATATCCGGGTTTGACGAAAGCAAGAAGTGCCGGGCCGAAGCAAAACAAACATGGCTACGCAGGAAGACGAACGCGTAGCTGAGGCTATCAAGTCAGAATCTCCCATTTCTTTTTTGAAAGAGAGGCGCTTTGTGCACGCCGATGACGACATAATGTTACCGGATTTGGTTTAAGTCAAACCTTGGTAGGCGGGCACACAGCGTCACTTCGCCCAATCAGCTTGAAGTATTCTGCTGCTTATCCCTCCTTTCCCCAAAAGGAATCTCCTGCAGAAGGCCCAGATTGATATTGTGGAGAACGCATTAGAGTTCTACACAATCATCAATCTGGCTCTTGCCAGGTTATCACAGTATAAATATAGGGTTATACAGTACTATGATATTTTTTATACATCTGTTTTCTATGTTTTGTCATCATTATTAAATGGATTATTATTATGGCCACAAAAAGGAGTAGCTCTCTGCCTCTTCTAAAAGTAGCATGTAAATATTGTAAATACTTATGAATGTATAATTTCTGCTCAAATTATGACTGAAACATCAGACAAAAATACTAACCTGGGATGAAATTAGCAGTTGGGGATAAGGGGTGAATAGATGTAAAAGTGGCAATTTAGTCACAAATTATGGAAAGAATGGGCAAACATACACATTTACAGTAACAAGCTGGGCCATTATAGGCACAGGGCTAACAGTGTGGAGCAGTCACTAAAGCAGCACACAGTTTTCTGTTTCTGCTCCACACTGTACATATCCCGGGCTGTTTTCTCCAAAGATAAAGGCGTTGGTGAGTCAGGGAGCAAACACAACATGAAGGCAGATGTATATTCTCTCTCTGACTGTGGCCTGCGCTTGCTCTGGCCGGCTTCGTTCGGATGAGCAGATGTTAATAGCTGGACGGGGGCAAGTGTTTAATTAGGTGTGGGGGAAATGATTTATTCAACATCAACATCTGGGTCCATAAAATAACCCTCTTCGGACTGCCTAATTTATGAGGCGCGGGCCAGACCCTCACCTCCGTCTGAGCTTAAGCGATACATCAGCTCTGTGTGGTGTTCGGTGGATACAGTTGGTTTTTGTGGGTAAAGAATTAAACATGTGAGAATTGTTTTCATCACAAAAGCATTCTCAACTTGATTTTCAACTTAATGAGATCCTTTATACGTCCCACAGAGGGTAAATTTCAGTGTTGTATCACCGGGTACATCGCAGTAAAAATGAAGAGCACACAGAAAAAGGTAAATGACAAATAACTATACAATTTTTTAATTTTTTTGTTGCAGTAAGTATAAAATCTCTAGTGCAAGAAATACATAGCTGTGTGCATGTTAGCAGCATGAGGTATGGGACAAAGTGACTCAGTAAAGTGACAGTGTCTGGTTCTATATACAAGATACATGCATTTATTTGCCATTTGCAGTAAAACCACATTGGAAAAACTCTGCAAGAAAACCCCAGTGTGCACCAGACTTTAATGCACATTCTGACTTAAGTTCAAAGTATTGCACAGATGCACACGACACGTTGAGGTTGTGCGTCTGTGCAATAGTTTGTGGTTCTGTCGTGATAGAAAATTAATGCTATGTTTAGATTGAAAAAGTATTTAAACATAACATGTCCCGTTTTTGCACAGTGGACGAACTCCCGTGATGCTTTGTGCCAAATCGGCCGCGCTCTGACCAATCAGAGCTGCTGATCAGAGCAGCAGCAGTTTGTGGCACTAAAGTGTGGATTTAAAGAAAACCAAAGGATTTAAGAAGAAAAAAAGTTCAGGATGACAAGGGACACTAAAATCCCCACAAAATTCAACCTTTATGAAAGCTGTAGGTTCTCTGTCGGGTTCTCGGTCAGCTGAGGTTGAGCTGTTTTAGTTTACAATGAGTTCTATGGGGAAAATTTCTGGGTAGCCCACGTGAATTTAATCTGGTTTAGTCTGCTGTATTGCGAGAATCTCCCGAGCAAATGGGTTATTCAGCTCCAAGCTAGTAATACCCTATCCAGTTATTATAATATATCAAAAAAATCAATCCATACAAACAAACAAATTCATAATTATAAAATGTACTAACAACGGTAATACAGTGTCAATGTTCTTTCCAACACTTGTGTACATGTACTAGCTTGAGGAGCCACATGGGGTCGTGTCAGCCATAGAGGGGGATAAAGGAGGGGGGGGGGAGCAGCAGGGGGGTGTCAGTGACGATCAGGCCGTACAGCGCCGTCTCCGAGCTCAGGATTACTGGGATTTGTGCATGTCTCGCTCCACACGGCCCCAAAGGTCGCGTCTGCTCGGCCTCTGTCTGCACGCGGCTGCTTCTCTTTGGTACGACAAAGAGAAAAGAAAGGATCACGGATATTTCCCCCGACGGTAAGTTTGTGTGTGACCGGAATATTAAAGATACAGTCACAAAAGCTCTGAAAGCTTTAGGATATATGTAAACAGCCTTTGAGTTTACAGGGTTCGAAGCTGTTGATACTAAAATGCTTCGTAAATGTGTTTTTTTGGTCTCCAACCAATCGCTCGAAAGCTACCGGTAACTCACCACCCTCTTCACATTAGCTCCCCAAAGGCTGATTTTAGGGAAGTAAGTATAAAAAATATTGAAAGATTTGATGGATATAATACAATGCAACAAAAAATGTCAAAAATAATGTGGGAAATCGCCCCAATCGCCAAAAATTGTTCTTAATTGATTGGAGAAGTTTTCACTGGTCTCTCTCTGGTCTCTCATAGTCTCTCTCTGCTTTCTCTCTAGTCCCTCTCTGGTCTCTCTCTGGTCTCTCTCTGGTCGCTGTCTGGTTTCTCTCTGGTCTCTCTCTCTGGTCTCTCTCTGGTGCATGTCTGGTCTCTCTCTGGTCTCTCCGGTCTGTCTCTGATCTCTCCCAGGTCTCTCTCTGGTTTCTCTCTGGTATCTCTCTCTAGTCTCTTTCTGGTCTGTCTCTGGTCTCTCTCTGGTCTCTCTTTGGTCTCTCTTGGGTCTCTCTCTGGCCTCTCTCTGGTCTCTCTCTGGTCTTTCTCTGCTCTCTCTCTGGTCTCACAGCTCTCAGACCTCTTTCAGAGCGGGTCTCCTTGGTTTTAGGTCTCCTTTCTCTGGCTGTGATGTCACTAAACCACACAGTCCCACAGTCTTTGCTACAACTAAGCAAATGATAGGATTTTTCTCACAGTCAAGGCTCTTTCTGTAGTGAACCATTTGTATGTATTATTTACAAGGGGGAAAAGTTAGGTTCCCCAGCTTTAAATTGGCTTTACATCCAGTCCAGACAATCACAACTGTCAGCACACGTTACATAAACACAACTGATACAACACACACATTCTCATCCCACAACACTATTAAACAACGACATTAAACAAACACATTTCTTCTTCAGAGTGGATTGATGAGTGATGCTTTCCCCGGCGCATCATTTAAAATCCATTTGTCCACTCTACCAGATGGCGCGTCCAATTTTTTAAAGCAATTTTCTGGTAAAATTACTCACCTGTCAACGCGCATCAGAACCCACCCCCCCAAACAATGGGTCTCTGTCAGAAAAAAGCAAAGAGGAAAGTTGATTGGCTGAAGCCGGCTCCCGCTGCCTCAGTCACCAGCTGCACCGCACGACCTGCCAACTCGCCATCTCATTCATAATAACTCCATCATGTGACACCGATAGCTCCGTTTTGGATGAGGACTCAGTGTTCAAATGTGAGAGCCATAATAACCAGCGTGTGGAAGAAAAACGCTGAAAAAAAAGACGACAGATTTCAAACGCCCACATTTTGTTTTTTTGTTTTTATTCTAACGTGCTCAAGGACAAGAATGATCATATTTTAGATTGGAGATTGTCAGGTGACCCTCGAAGGTGGTTAGAGGCAACTTCTTTCTGTACTTACACGGTGACCTCTGGGAGCAGAAGGGGCCATAGTGGGGCCGTTGTGTTTTCAGGCAAGACTCACATTGCCAGGAATGAGTCTGGTGTGTGTGTGAATGGTTGGTGGTGGTCAGAGGGGCCGTTGGCACGGACTGGTTGCCTCGCTTCTGCCAGTGTGCCCCAGGGCAGCTGTAGCTACAGTAGTAGTTTATCACCACAGTGTATGGAGTGAAAGAATAATGACATGTGAAGCTTTGTTGATTGTCCAAAAAGCACTATATATAACCAATGCCTTTTATTATGCAATATTATTATTATTATTGTAATTATTATTATTATTATTATTATACCTGTATAGAAAGCCAGATCCTGTCAGACCTCTGAAGCTAAGAAGGGATGGGCCTGGTTAGTACTGTAATGGGAGACCTCTGGGAACCCCAGGTGACACAGTGGGGCGGCTTTAAAATGCCAAACTGTGGTTGTGTCCTTAGGCAAGGCACTTCCCCCACATTGAATGAGTCTGGTGTGTGTGTGTGTGTGTGTGAATGGGCCAATGGGACATACTCGTTTGCCTCCTCTGTCCCCAGGGCAGCTGTGGCTACAGTAGTAGTATTACAACACTGTGTATGGAGTGAATGAATGACACATGTGAAGCGTCTTTGGTGATGTAGTTTCTCTTACAGTGCAAACGCAGATAGAAACTCTAAACTCTTACTTATTCAACCCTTGTGCCACACAGTGATTTCTCTCTTAAAGTTCTTACTACAAAATCAGTTCTTTGTGGCTGTAGATGAAGAAACACATCACATATTGACATTCTGTTGCCATAAGATAACGCCACAATATTTGGATTCACTGAAGTGAGTCGGAGCGCTCTCTTTCTAAATCTGCTGAGTCATTACATCAGGCGGAGAAAGCATTCATTAAAAGTTGCAAAAAAGAATCCCTGACAATTGTTAATTAAAATCTTTTCAATTGAATGTGCCTTTACAGAACGGTTCAAAACAAACTTCTGAAACCTTAAGCCCATGAAGAGGGAACATTTTAGCATTTTAGTTCTATATGAGAAAATATAAGTGCTTTCAAACAGGAGACAGGAGTGGGAAAGGTCGTCGCGTTGTTTGGACCCGTGTTGGCGTTTCACCGCAAGAAAGCCTGGAGCGGGTCAAAATAAAAGCTTCAGAACAAACATCAGACTTTCAAAATCAGTCTTTTACCCAGGACCAGAGGGAATCAGGGGCAAAGCGGACAACAGCAAGCTCATCATCCACAATTTGTTATTTTTTTACAAGAACAACTGAGTCCTGGATCCACAGCCCTGAGGTTTCTTACTCTTTTCCACTGCTTCTTTTTTGAGTCAAAACCAAGACATTTAAGGACATTTATGGACAGTGGTCATCCCGCCCCCTACAGACCGATGTCTCCTATGTGTTTGTTATTATTGCATGTCCTGATTCTCTGATCTGTTATTGGTGAATCGACGACGTTGTAAAGTTCTCCGAGAAGATTTAGGGCGGTCCACAAAAACATTGACTTGAATTATAAATGTATGTGTGATATGAATACTATATTACGGTCAATGTTCAAAACGGCAGTAACTTGTAGCTCGTAATTTATCGGGTGAGAAATTCAGAAATACTGAAACGAAAACCCTGCAGAGACACGCATTTGTTTTACCAAAATAAATAATATTTCCATTTGTCCTGTGCATATTGAATTGAATTGTGATGTCTTATTTTTCCTGTAACAAAAGTGCTGACTCGGCTGCATGTCCACCCCATCAGCTCCACTTTTTTGCAGAGAAAACACATAAATGTACCACACCAAAGACTTAATAAAAGTGGATATGGGCCGGTGTTGATTTATGGCCCACATTTCCTGTATAATGGAGGCGGACAGAGGCAGCGGCGGCACATGCGGCGGCAGCTGGACACATTATAATGGCTCTGCTGGACACTTGCACTGGCTGCTCCAAAACCTGTGATGGTGTTTATTAGTACGTCTCGCTGTGTTGTTAAAGAAACACAATTTATCAATGAGGAGTAGATTTACGAGAAACAGTAATCATTGTGTCTGTTACCGCTATAGCAACGGTCTTTATAGTACTGTATGTATGAGCATTACCCAATGTTGTTTTTGTATGGTTTGTAATTGGTTTCACATTGAGCTTTCGTGTGGTTTTGTGTGTGTGTGTGTGTGTCTATCTTTGTGTATACCTGTTTACGTGTGTGGGTCAGTATGTGTGTGTACGTGTAAGTGTGTGTATATATGTGCCTTAGTGTGTGTGTGCACTATTAAGTCAAGTAAAATGTATCTAAAGGGCGTTTTCTTCATATTTGTGTGTGTGTGTGTGTGTGTATCTTTATGCATGTTTCAGTGTACGTGTGTGTGTGTATGATTGTTTGTGTGTGTGTGTGTGTGTGTCTTTGTGTGTATATATCCATTAGTGTGTGTGCAATGTTAGGTCAATTGAAATTCATCTAAAGAGAATTTTCTCCATTATTTTCTTCATATTTATATGTATGTGTATGTGTGTGTGTGTGTGTGTGTGTGTGTGTGTGTGTATGTGTGTCGATCTTGGTGTATGTGTACTTGAGCGGATGTATGTGTATGTGTGTATGTGTGTGTGTGTATCTACAGTATGTATGTATGTACTGTATGTATGTGTATGTGTGTATGTGTGTATGTGTGTATCTACAGTATGTATGTATGTACTGTATGTATGTGTATGTGTGTATGTGTGTGTGTGTGTGTGTATCTACAGTATGTATGTATGTACTGTATGTATGTGTATGTGTGTGTATGTGTGTGTGTGTGTATCTACAGTATGTATGTATGTACTGTATGTATGTGTATGTGTGTATGTGTGTGTGTGTGTGCGTGTGCATGTGTGTGTGCTTCTTCCCATCACTAACACAGCCATCTCTTCTCATCTATGAACACTCTCGTGAGTTAAAGCGCCGCCATGGTGTGGAACAGTGACAGACACAGTAAATAAAACCCTTCTCTCATGTTGTTCTCTCCGCTCTGTTTCTGTAATTGCCCGTGTGCCTCCTCTCAACATCTGCCTCTCCTTTTTTTATTCTTCTGTTGATTTTTTGTCTTTGATGAACGCCTTCACACGAGATTATGATCTGCAAACTCTATTCAAGAGCTGTATGTCGTCCTATAACAGGTGAGTATTGCGGGTTTTCTTACCGAACATATTGATTTCAAACACGTCCATCTATTTCTATGGCTGCACTGCAAAAAATGATTATATATGACTTCATAATGGCTGTGTTTAATTTTAATTTGAGCACATTCTGACCTTGTTAAAACCAGATTTGCCAAAGGGACAAAGTAAATGGCTTATTTCAAAAACTACACTCCAAAAAGTGCTAAAATATGAGGTGAAAAATGCTTAAATCAAGTGGTTTTAATCTTAAGTTGAGTGTTTAAACCAGATTTGCCGATGCACTGTAAAAAGTGAAAATAATAAGATAAGATATACTTTATTAATCTCACACAGGAG